GTGTTTACAGGCCAAATAAATACATTAATTTTGTTGACTTTGTTGATTATTTGGAAGAACTTACCTTGTCTTTTAACAATATCGTAATAGCCGGTGATTTTAATTCTGCTCTACTCAGCGATGACACTTTCGCATTGGCTATGAGGAATTTGGGGTTGTTTTCCGTGAACTGTTCGATTCCAACTCATTTTACAAATACCAATAGTTCGCTACTTGATGTCTTTTTTGTAAATAATAAGAACAAAGTACTTTTATATGATCAACTCGATCTTTCAAGCTTTTCTAAGCACGATCTTATTTACCTCATTTTTGATTTCGAGTTGACAAGCAAAACAGAGTACTATTCTTACCGCGACTTTGCGCATATCCAATATGAAGACCTTGAGAAGTATGTCGACTCTGTGAATTGGGCATCCATATACACAATGGTTTCAGTAAATGACCAAATNTACCAAATTGACTTTATTCAAGCTAATACTAAAAGCCTTTTTAATAAATTTGTGCCGCTTGTTACGAAAACTATTTCGGATAAATGCCGTCCTTGGTTTAATAGCCATATCAAAACGTTAATTTCAAAACGAGATCGAGCATACCGAAAGTGGAAGCGCCATAGGACAGATGTCCTTTACAGTGACTTTAAAACTCTTCGAACGGAGACAATTAAAGCAATAAAAACCTAAAAAATTATGTATTACGACCAAAGATTCAGTGAAGCAATTGGGTCAAAGCAAAAATGGCAGCGAATTCGCGAAATAGGGATTGGAAAAGAAAGGGCACAATTCCTTGATTCTGTAAATGTAAATGATTTAAATAAGCAGTTCCTTGACTCCTCGAATACTTTTGAAAATATTGCCTATGAGCGCTATAACTGTAATCCGTATAGGTCGCTGTCAAACTTCAGCTTTAATTGTGTTGATGAGTGTGACGTTGTCCAGTCAGTACTGTCTATAAAATCCAACGCCGCTGGTTTGGATGACATTCATCCGAAGTTTTTCAAATGTTTGCTCCCGAAACTTCTTCCATATATTACCTACGCAATAAATAACATTCTTACATCAGCTGTCTTCCCCAACTGCTGGAAAAAAGCCAAAATAATACCCATTCTGAAATCAAATGGTGACTACAGACCTATTGCGATTCTCCCATATCTATCTAAAGTCTTAGAACGCATAATGCATCAGCAGATTGACTCGTTTATATCTAAAAATTCCCTGGTCAGCGCTTACCAATCTGGCTTCAGGCATAAGAAAAGCTGTACCCTTTCGCTTCTTACCGTTTCAGATGACATTAGAATAAATATGGACAATAATCGCGTAACCTTGCTCACTCTTCTTGACCACTCCAAAGCTTTTAATACAGTAAATCACAAACTACTGTGTCTCAAATTAAAGAATTTATTTCAGTTCTCATCTTCGGCTGTAAACCTAATTAGCTCATATCTTTTCGGCCGATCGCAAGCAGTCAACATAGGCAATGCAATGTCAAGTTCTCTTTCCATATCTAAAGGAGTTCCTCAAGGGTCGATTCTCGGCCCCTTACTGTTTGTTTTGTACATCAACGATCTGCCGAAGGTATTAAAGCACAATAAAATTCAAATGTACGCTGATGATGTGCAATTGTATTTGAGCTGCCCACTTCACTCATTGAACCTATGCATANTGTCAACATAGGCAATGCAAAGGAGTTCCTCAAGGGTCGATTCTCGGCCCCTTACTGTTTGTTTTGTACATCAACGATCTGCCGAAGGTATTAAAGCACAATAAAATTCAAATGTACGCTGATGATGTGCAATTGTATTTGAGCTGCCCACTTCACTCATTGAACCTATGCATACAGAACCTCAATAGTGATTTAGACCTCGTTCACGAGTGGGCAAGTAACAATGGTTTGGTCTTAAATCCAAACAAATCCCAATGTATTGCTATTTTTAAAAAACATTTTGACCTCAACGTTTATGATACAGTTTCATTGAACAGAACTGTGATACCATATGTTGATGTAGCTAAGAACCTGGGCGTACTATTTAACAGAACACTAACGTGGGATAATCATGTCTATAGCACAATTGGTAGAGTATATGCTATGCTAAGGTATTTATGGTCAACACAACACCTAACGCCGATGCCCACTAGAATGTTAATCGCGAAATCTTACTTGCTACCAACGCTGTTGTACGGTTGCGAACTCTATGCTAACAGCGATAGTCAATGCAATAAAAAACTCCACGTGCTTTACAATAACATCGCCAGGTATATATATAGCAAAAAACGGTATGACCACATTTCACAATGGGCTCGTAATATAACTTCAATATCACTCGACGATATGCTGAAGCTCAAGTGCCTTACAATGCTTCAGAAAATCTTATTCTCAGAGGAGCATCCGCATCTCAAAAATCGTCTTCAAATTACTCAATCGTCACGATTACAACAGCTTTTGCACCTGAAATTCAATTCTGTCATATCTGAGCGTCAGTTTTTCGTCTATACTATTCGCCTATGGAACAAATTACCCCTTAAACTCAGGGCTATTAAGGACACATTGCACTTTAAAATAGCATTACTTAGACACTATGCTGACTAAATGAAAATTTGTAACTATTTAACTCGCGTCAGTCACCTCAACTCTAACCGCTAAATTACTGTATTTTTCTTTATTCTCTTCAATCTTACACTTTATGAATAATTTTATAAGTTTTAGATGTTAAGTTCAAATTTTATACATTTTAATATCGTATTATATTGTAATATTCTCAGTATCTAACACTGAAATATAACCTGTGGTTGTTGTGTTAGACTACTTTAATAAATAAATAAATAAATAAAAGGCGTATTAGCATCGCTTCAAACCCATCTATGCCCTCAGTAAGTGAACCTCGACTTAAGCAGCGATGAAAAAAGACAAGCCAAGATGGACTTTTACCAGAAATATGGATTTCCTGGCGCGATTTTGTGTGTAGACGGGACACACATTAAAATTGTTGCTCCAACTGAAGAAAAGTTTCTCTATTTTAATCGCAAAGGTTACTACAGCATCAATGCCATGATCGTAGATTTTGAGAAGAATCTACATACTTACAAATACATACTTTAAATTTCTTATTTAATTTGTTTGTAGATATGCGACAATAAAATGAGAATCCGCTACGTGAATGCGCAGTATCCTGGCAGCAACCATGATTCTCATATATGGAATGTCAGCAATGCGCGATATTTTTTTGAGAAGAAGTACCAAGATGGTGAACGAAACACATGGCTTTTGGGTATATACACACATAGATACGTCCAATTTCAGTGAATTATTGTCAAAATAAAATGGTTTATTTTTTCCACAGGAGACGCTCGATACGCCCTGGAGCCATGGCTAATGACACCCTTCCGATCACCTCCATCAGGAAGTCCTGAAGGTAACTACATTAAAGTGCATGCGAAGGCTAGAAATATTGTAGAAAGGACCATTGGTGTATTTAAAAACCGATTTAGATGCCTTCTGGGTGCTCGTGAGCTTCATTATGAACCCTCGAAAGTATGTCAACCATGAGCTTTCTTCATCAAGTTATAATGATGCGGCTTCACAGATAAGACAATCTATATCTAGAACACTAACACGAATATAAATTTCAAGATAAATTTATTTATAAGTTTACTTACTTTTTTTAGTAGTTTTCACTTAAATTATAGGTCGATCTTTAACCAAAACTCCATATATAAAGTACTAATACCACTACTACTAGAAACTACATATATATGTTTTATGCGTTATATGGGCGGGTAAATATTAAACAATCTAAGTATGAGTTATTAATGAAATATCGTTTAAATAAACGTTTATGAAAAACTTCTTTTGGAAATTTTTAGTAAGTTTATGTTCATACGTTTATAAACAACGTTTTTTGAACCTTAATTATAAGTTTCTACTTATACGCTTATAAAAAGCTTTCTTTTGTGCATTTATTATATGTTTATATTTTGTGGTCATAAGAAATAGCCGCCTAAATCGACTTAAGAAAGAATTGAGTTATATATGCTATCGCGGTCTGCAACTACTATTCCATGTTAAGGAATAACAAGGTAAACATTACCATCCAAATGTTAAAACGTTTTTTCTCGAATTCAGGTTTTTCGACTTAGGCGGTGATTGCTTATGACCACAAATTTATACGCTCATAAAAATCTTTCTTTTGGACATTTATTATAAGTTTATATTTATAGGCTTGTAACCAAGGTTCCATTTCTATTATATTACACTTACTTCCAAGCGTTTATAAACAAAAAATTAACGTTTTGTAAGCTTAATGTTTATAATTGTAAACTTAAAAAAAAGTTTCTTTAAAGTTTATTTTGCTTGTTGGGAATGATACAAACCATGGATGACAAGAAAGATCAATTTTAATACAAACATTCGTTGTTTTCAATGAAATTAGTGTATTTATTTATTTCTTGACAATATTTCTAAACTTCGCTGCTCTACCTCCAGCATTTGTTTTTTTATGTCATTTTTTGCCGTATTCAAGTTTTGCATGTGTATATGGTACAGGCGGGTCTCTTCCAAATCGGCTTCTTTCACATCGCACATTCTTTCCACTTCCGAGCACAAGCGCTGCATATTCGAAGCGAGGGCGTCTAGCTTCTCATTCTGTTCTGCAAAGTGTTCCACACTCTTTTGCTGGAAATCCTTTTGAATCTCTAGTTGTTCTTTCAAAAGTTCTGCAGCACTTGTGTCGGCTCGCCTCTGGACAGTTGGAGCACGTCTTGGGAGGGATGGACTGCAGTTCTCCTACAACATGGATACGTCGGGATCGGCCTCGCAACTTCCTACTTCGCCGGCAGAAGGTAGTCCAACACTTACCGTACCTGTGATACCGTGCGTGCTGGTCTCCAAAGCTGGCATCTTAATGACTTCCTCTTCCGATTCATTGAAATGGTGCTGCCTATTTCGTCCTCCGCCTGTTGCTGCCTGCTCCTTCTTGTTTTCGGATAGCTTCCTCTTTATGTAGGCCTTCCAATCTAACCACGCCTGAAATAAAAATATGCTATACGAACTTATAGCACATGCAGAAATTCATTACTTTTTTCCAGCTCGACACGTCTTTGGTTGGAGGGCCCAGACTATTAAGCTCCTTCGCCACATTTTGCCAGAACTCCATTACCTCTTCCTTGGAGCATTTTGAGAAACCCTGGGCGATTTCTGGTTTCTGTTGCAAAAGCTCCAACAAAGTAGCATACTGCTGTCGTGTTGTAACAACTTTAGTCCTGTAAAAGTGTATAGATATATATATGTATGTTAAATTTATTTATAATTGAATTAATAGTGGACCTACATACTAAAGCTTTTTTTATTTTTTTCTTTTCAATTCTTATTTTAATTAACTCTTTTTTATTTCTCCCCGATGCAAAAACACGTCGTAGCAAAATGGTACGAAAATCTGCGAATTGACGTTTCGAGTGAGTTCAGTGAATGCAATTCTACGAATTGCGAATTTACGTTGTAGTTATTCGAATTGCGTAATAGCTATTTCGTAACTTCTCCGAAAAAACAGTCTACGATGGATTGCGTGATAGGGCTGATTAACTGTTACTTTCGGTCCCTTCAATATTCGCATTCACAAAAGATCCGCATTGATTATTGCGAATGCGAAAGCGAATGCGAATGTTAAAATTAATGCGGAAGCTCCGCGGCTGCGAATGCGAATGCGAATATTCGCAACAACCCTGGTACATATGTACATATTCCGAAATTTTTTTGATGTGTATACATCTTTGGTTTCGGTAGGGGTAAAATTTGCGAAGCTGTAACGCATATCCCAACACAAAATTTCGAAGGGCTTAGCATGTGTATTTCAGCATAAAATTTTTATTTTCATTAGAAGCACCCTGAGTTTGCTTGCCAAATGGTTGCATACAATTAGGCATATGCATAGTAAGAAGAAATGCACTACAATTGATTATTACTTCCGATTATTACTCCGCACATGCATTTTGATATTCGTAGATGGTGTTAGGCATAGGTTTAGTACTCTATTTTGATAAAAAAGCAAGACGAAAATTTAAAAAAATACTGAAATCATTTTTGAACTGGGACCGTTGATAACTGATGCACATACATGAATATATGTATAATATGCATATATATGGATGATATAATAGCTCTGATCCAATACTTTTCGTGTAAAATCCTGGAAAAAGGTCAAACAGCAAAATCACTCTCTGAAGTGAGAGTAAAAAGTGAGTAACAGCAAAACGTACGGAAAAAGCATCGGGTAAAATCCTGCAACATGAACTGCATTTACATGAACCACAGATTATATTCCGAAAAGAAAAACCAAATTTAGGAATATATACAAATAGAAATGCTCAAACTATAAGCTCAAAAACAATAACTGATGCGGTGTTTCCAAGATATTTTAACGCCCTTGAGTCACAAGTATATACAAGTATATTTTATCAATCATACCGATAATTTCATGTATTAAATGAATTAAAAATGAAAATGAATAAAAAAAATTAAATAAGCAAAATGAATAAAATTACGTGAAATTAATGTTTAATTTCTAACCTATCCTACATTTGTATGTATGTAACTGAATCGCTTAATAATAGCTTTACATATAAAAAAATTATCCTAATTTTCGAGCTTAACTCCCTAATCTGTTATTA